TCATGTGGTATAATCGTACTCAAGTGATAAATAACTTCTTTATCTTAAGAAGCAGGTGTGAGAGGTAAATGACTTACAGTTTGCATAGATTTTTTTTTTCTTTCCTCAGTTTGTGGGGCTTGCACTCTGAGCCTGGGCCCTGTCCCTCAGCTCTTCAGCTCAAGGCGATCTAGCACTAGAGCCACAGCGCCACTTACGGTTTTTTGGTGGTTCATTGGAGATAAGAGTCTCACAGACTTTTCCTGCTCAGGCTGGCTTTGAACCGCGATCCTCAGATCTCAGCCTCTGAGTGGCCAGCGTTCCAGGCTTGAGTCACCCACCATTCCTGGTTGAATTCCATTCTGCAAATCCTTGTGAACAGATATATGTGTGTGTGTGTGTATATGTGTGTATATATATTTTGTGTGTTTGCTATACAGTAAGACCCATCTTAGTAAATACGAAGAGATAACCCATGTGGGGTTTGTACTTGTTTTCTTTGTTTTGCTTCATTTGTGAAACAGTCACGTGTTGACTGAGAGTTGTCTACAATTTCTGAGCTCAAGTGATCTTCCCACCTTATTCTCCCTTTTAGCTTGGAATACAGGCATGCCTTACTATACCCTTGGCTTTCATTTTGGTTTTCATTTGCATCATCCAATGACTGGTAAACTTGACATCTTTCTGCTCTTTTGGCCCTGAGAACACCTCCTTTGGAGCAAAGTTATTCATGTCTATCTGTCTGTCTGTCTGTCTGTCTGTCTCTGTCTGTCTGTCTTTTGAATGGTATTGAAGGTTGGAATTTAGGGCTTCATACCTCCTAGCCAAGTGCTATACTACTTGAGCCTCACCTCTCACCCTTTTAGTGGTTTTTGAGTCATATGGATTCTGCATATAAATCTTTAATCATACGTATGATTTTACTTCATTTGTCTACATGCTGTGGATTAGCTTCACATTCAGAGTGGCCTGAAATGGACAGACGTGATCTTGGCTACTCGGAGGCTGAGATCTGTAGGTCGTGGTTCCAAGCCAGCCCCGACAGGAAACTCCGGCAGACTCTTCTCTCCAGCTAGCTAACCAAAAGCTGAAAATGAACCTGTGGCTCAAGTGGTAGAGCACCAGTCTTGAGCAAAGATCAGAGACAGTGTTCAGGCCCTTAGTTCAAGGTCCAGGATCAGCACTAAAAAAATAAAATAAAAATTTTTACTGGGCTCTGGTGGCTCATACCTGTAATCCTAGCTACGCAGGAGGCTGAGATCTGAGGATCACAGTTCAAAGCCAGCCCAGGCAGGAGAGTCCATGAGACTTATCTCCAACAAACCATCAGAAAATTGGAAGTGGCACTGTGGCTCAAGGGGTATAGTGTTCACCTTGAGCTGAAAAGCTGAGGGACAGCACCCAGGCCCAGAGTTCAAGTCCCATGACCAACCAAAAATAAATATATAAAATTTTTCTCATTTTGTAAAATTTTATTGTTCCTTATATGTTTTGGGTTTTTTTCTGTGTTTTGTTGTTGTTGGTGGTGGTGATCGTGGCATATGAACTCTGGGCCTGGGCGCTGTCCCTCAGCTCTTCAGCTCAAGGCTAGCGCTCTACCACTTGAGCCACAGCGCCACTTCCGGCTTTTTCTGCTTATGTAGTGTTAAGGAATCCAGCCCAGGGCCTCATTCTTGCGGAGGCAAGCAGTCTACCACTGAGCTGCTTTCCAAGCCTTGTTCCTTGTGTTTTTGTTGTCATAACAAATAAACAGTTGCCAAATCCAAGAACTTTTTTAAATTACTTATTTTATTGTTTGGTTGAAACTCAGGGCCTGGGGCCTGGTCCTTGAGTATTTTCCCTTAAGGCTGGCACTCTACCGCCTGAGCCACAGCCCCACTTCCGGCTTTTTGCTTGTTAATTGGACATAAGAGTCTCAAGGGGGGCTGGGAATGTGGCTTAGTGCTACAGTGCTCGCCTAGCATGCAGGATGCCCTGGGTTCGATTCCTCAGCACTACATAAGAAGTACTGTGGCTCAAGTGGTAGAGCGCTCGCCTTGAGCAAAAGAAGCTGAGGGACAGCGCCCAGGCCCAGAGTTCAAACCCCAGCACTGGGGGAAAAAAAAGGCTCTTGCACTTTTGTGCCTGGATTGGCTTCAAATCCTGATCCTCAGATGTCAGCCTCCTGAGTAGCTAGGATTACAGGCGTGAGCTACCCGGCCCAGCTTATACATAGCTTTTGTAGGAAGAAACTTTGTGTAATACTCTTGTAGGGTTTTTTTTGTTTTGTTTTTGGGTCTGGTCATGGGGCCTGAACTCTGGGCCTGGGCGCTGTCCCTCAGCTCTTCAGCTCAAGGCTAGTGCTCTACCACCTGAGCCACACTCCCACCTCCGGCTTTTTTCTTTTTGCTTATGTGGTGCTGAGGAATCGAACTCAGGCAAGGCAAGCACTCTACCACTGAGCCACCTTCCCAGCCCTCACAGACTTTTTTGACCACAGCTGGCTTCCAACTTTGATCCTCCAGATCTCAGCCTCCTGAGTAGCTAAGATTACAGGTGTGAGCCACCAGCAGCTGGATTTTTTCTTTTTCTTTTTTCCTTGGTCCTGGAGCTTGAACTCAGAGCCTGGGTGCTGTCCCTAGGTCTCTTTGTGCTAGCACTCTACCACTTGAGCCACAGCGCCACTTCCGGCTTTTTTCTTTTTGCTTATGTGGTGCTGAGGAATCGAACTCAGGCAAGGCAAGCGCTCTACCACTGAGCCACCTTCCCAGCCCACAGACTTTTTTTTTTATGGTGATGACTTATTTATTTATTTTTGGGTCCGGTTGTGGGGCCTGAACTCTGGGCCTACACGCTGTCCCTCAGCTCTTCAGCTCAAGGCTAGTGCTCTACCACCTGAGCCACACTCCCACCTCCGGCTTTTTTCTTTTTGCTTATGTGGTGCTGAGGAATCGAACTCAGGCAAGGCAAGCACTCTACCACTGAGCCACCTTCCCAGCCCTCACAGACTTTTTTGACCACAGCTGGCTTCCAACTTTGATCCTCCAGATCTCAGCCTCCTGAGTAGCTAAGATTACAGGTGTGAGCCACCAGCAGCTGGATTTTTTCTTTTTCTTTTTTCCTTGGTCCTGGAGCTTGAACTCAGAGCCTGGGTGCTGTCCCTAGGTCTCTTTGTGCTAGCACTCTACCACTTGAGCCACAGCACCACTTCTGGTTTTTTGAGTAGTTGATTGGAGATAAGAGTCTCATGGGCACTGAGACTTTCCTGCCCAGGCTGGCTTAGAACTTCAATCCCTAGATCTCAGCTTCCTGAATAGCTAGGATTACAGGTCTGAGTCACCGGTGCCTGGTATTGCTTTTTGTTTTTGTCTTGATCAGGGGGCTTGAACTCTGGGCCTGGGCACTGTCACTAAGCTCTTCAGCTCAAGGCAAACACTCTACCACTTGAGCCACAGCACCATTTCCGGGTTTTTTGTTAGCTCATTGGAGATGAGTCTCATGGACTTTCCTGCCCAGGCTGGCTTTGAACTGTGATCATCAGATCTCAGTAGCTAGGATGACAGGCGTGAGCCATCCGTGCGGGGCTAGGTGCTTCATCTTTTGTCATTTCAACTCCACTCCAGCCAGCTTCCTTGCTGGTCCTCAAACAAGATCCTGCCCCAGCGCTTTTACTTCTGCTGTTCCTTCTTGGCCTGGGGTATGTTCTCTCACCTCTGACTCATAGCTGACTCCTCATCCTTCAGGCCCTGCAAACCTGTCACCTCCTCAGAGGTCCGCTTGGACCACAGCATCCCTCAATTAAGTTCATTCATTCATTCATTCATCTGTTCTGTGATTCACTCAATGTATATTGTGTCCACTGAATAATTCATGCCATGTTTTCAGTCCCAGGCATTCACAGATGAACAAAGCAGATAAAACCATTGCTCTGTGATTTTAGTTTTAGAAGGGAAGACAACCAGTAAAGAAGATAAGTAAAGCCGGGCGCTGGTGGCTCACACCTGTAATACTAGCTACTCAGGAGGCTGAGATCTGAGGATCGCGGTTCAAAGCCAGCCCGGGCAGGAGAGACCGTGAGACTCCTATCTTCAATAAACCACCAGAAAACCGGAAGTGGCGCTGTAGCTCAAGTGGTAGAGCGCTCGCCTTGAGCTGAAGAGCTGAGGGACAGCGCCCAGGCCCAGAGTTCAAGCCCCACGACCGACAAAAAAAAAAAAAAAAAAAGAAGATAAGTAAAGCCGGAGCCAGTGGCTCCTGCCTGTAATCCTAGCTAGATCTAAGATCTGAGGATCATGGTTCCAAGGCAGTTTGGGCAGGAAAGTCCTTGAGGCTCTTATCTCCAAATAATCACCAGAAAACCAGAAATGGCGCTGTGGCTCAAGTGGTAGAGTGCTCGCCTTGAGTTGAAGAGCTGAGGGACAGTGCCCAGGTCCAGAGTTCAAGCCCTATAACCCACAAAACAAAAAAATAAAAGAAGTAAAATATTGATTTTGTGAGGAAAATAGTTTGTTGGTGTCTGTGTGTGTGTGTGTGTGTGTGTGTGTTTGTGCCAGTCCTTGGGCTTGAACTCAGGACCCGGTCTGTCCCTGAGCTTTTTGTACTCAAGGCTATTGTGCTACCACTTGAACCACAGCTCCATTTCCAATTTTATTTATGGCTATTTAGGGATCAGAGTTTCACAGACTTTCCTGCCCCATCTGACTTCTAACTGTGATCCTCAGATCTCAGCCTCCAGAATAGGTAGGCTTACCTACGGCGCCCAGTAAAACATATAGACATTTGTGAAGTAAGTAGTTGTTTTGTTGTGTGTTTTAAGGGCAGGAAATAGGATGTTGGGGGAAGGTTTAAAGTTTGCAATGGTTGGAAAGGAGGCTGCCTGAGAAAAGTGACATTTGAGCCAAGACCTAAAGCAAGTCGCTGGAATCTAGGCAGCAGAAACAGACTGTGCAAAGGTCCTGAGGCAGCCATGTATTTACGGAGTCAGGGTCGAGCTGGGGACCCGGGTCAAGCTGAAAAGCTTGGGTGGATTCTGGCAGCCAGGATGACCTCAGGTGTGAAGAACACACTTTTGCCCCTGGGGTGACCCCCATCAGTTGTCTCTGACTTGGCTTCTTCCCTGCCTCGCATCTTAGTTTTTGGGGGGACAGTGGGGTCCTGTGTGATCCTACCTCCCTCCTCACCCCCATTCTCTCCACCTCCCAGCTAACCATGCAGCTCTCCCTGAGCCTCCCCTTCTCCCTCACCCCCTGCAGCTACGAGGGGGAGAATGGGCCGACGCCGTCGCCGGGCCGCAGCCCCCTGGACTCGCAGGCGAGCCCGGGGCTCGTGCTGCACGCCGGGGTGGCCGCTGGCCAGCGCCGGGAGTCCTTCCTCTACCGCTCGGACAGCGACTACGACATGTCCCCCAAAACCATGTCCCGGAACTCCTCCGTCACCAGCGAGGCGTGAGCATCCTTCTTCCCGGCCACCGGTGCTCCCCAGGGGCGGGAACATCTCCCCAGCCTGAACCCCGCGGGACAGGGCGGACGGGGTGGAGTCTGAGCCCCGCCCACCACCCCTCCTGCCAATGGCTGCCCTGGGCTTGGCTACTCTAACTTAGCCACGCCCACCACCCCTCCTGCCATTGGCTGGCCTAGACTTGTTCCTACTCTAATTTAGCCACGCCTACTCTAATTTAGCCATGCCCACCATCCCTCCTGCCATTGGCTGTCCTAGACTTGTTTCTACTCTAATTTAGTCACGCCCACCATCCCTCCTGCCAATGGCTGCCCTGGGCTTGGCTACTCTAACTTAGCCACGCCCACTCTGCTTTAGTCACGCCCACCATCCCTCCTGCCATTGGCTGGCCTTGCCTTGCTCCTACTCTAATGTCACGCCCACCTTCCCTCCTGCCATTGGCTGCCCTGAGCTTGGCCCTACTCTTAACAGCCTTGTCCACCATCCCTCCTGCCATTGGCTGTCCTGGCCCTCTCTTAACTATTCCTTCTTGGCTGACCCCTGGACCCACGGCCCACGCCCCACTCATGCCCTATTGGCTGCCCTAGACCCGGTCTACTTCAGCGGTCTTTCCTTGACTTTGGAGTGACTCCATATTCAACCTCATCCAGACCTTCTCTGGCTTTCCCCAAACCACCCACCCCATCACCCATTATCATAAGCCCTGGCTGAAATGGCAGCTTCCTCCAGTCCCCTCATCTCACGTCCTGTGTCCCTCCTACCAATCCACACGCACCCCAAGGCATGTCTTGCAGCACCTGTCCCCCAACCCCACCCGCTTTCCCTTGGTCACGAGCTCGGGGCGCAGCCCTGGCATCATGTCTACCCTTGGGGTGGTGTGGGGGCGCTGCTTCTCTGGTGATCGTGACTTGTCCTTGCCCTTGATTTTCAGGCATGCTGAGGACCTCATCGTTACGCCGTTTGCCCAGGTGAGACCCCTCCCTCCCCAAATAACGCAGAAAGGAAGATACTCCAAGTGTCCCCTTAACATGGGGCGAAAAAGGCCCCGCTCTGACATCTCTTATTACTTGCTGTTTCCTATGCCAGGTGCTGGCCAGTCTCCGTAGCGTTCGAAGCAACTTCTCACTCCTAACCAATGTACCCATTCCCAACAATAAGTAAGTAGAGGCTGGACCCCAACACCTCCTGTGATCCTGAAGTCCAGTAAGTCCAACTTTCAGCCTTGCTGTGTGACTTCAGGCAGGCCCATGACCTCTCTGAACACACTCTGACCACTGAGCAACTCCTTATTCAGCCATTGCAGTTAAAGGCGGGTAGGGGGTGGGCGGGGAGACTGAGACACCAAGCTTTTATAGATGAAAGCCAGACACCAGTGGCTCACGCCCCGCCCATAATCCTAGCTATTCAGATCTGAGGATGGCAGGCCAAAGTCAGCCCAGGTAGGAAAGTTCATAGGCCGATTATCTCCAGTGAATCAGCACGAAGCCATAAAGGGAGCTGTGGCTCAACTGGTAGAGCACCAGCCTTTAGTGGAAAAGCTGAGGGGCTGTGCCCAGGTCCTGAGTTCAAACCCTAGGACCAGCACCAAAAAAAAAGAATCTAGCTTGACTGCCTTGAGCCTGTTTCCTCGTTGGTAAAAGGAGTTGTCTGTAGCAATATGTCCGTGACACCGACTGGACCTCAGAAAGGAGAAAAGCACTGTTGGTGGGGAAGGGGCAGTGGGGATCGGAGCGAGCAGGCTGACATCCAACCCCATTTCTTTGTAGGCGGTCCCCGCTGGGTGGTCCAACCCCTGTCTGCAAGGCCACGCTGTCAGGTAGCCAAGCCTAGGGGGTGGGAAGGGGGTCCTCACCCCGGGATGGCTGGTCCGCCCCCTTCCCAACACCCCCATGACCGCATCGGGAGTGGGGAGGGGTGGATTTTGCCTGAGGACCCTCTGGGTCACCCCCTGGGCTCTACCCTCCTCAGAGGAGACATGCCAGCAGCTGGCCCGGGAGACACTGGAGGAACTGGACTGGTGCCTGGAGCAACTGGAGACCATGCAGACCTACCGCTCCGTCAGCGAGATGGCTTCGCACAAGGTGTGTGGCTCCACAGGGGCGGTGGGCGTGGCTTACGAGACGGGCCAATTACTAGGCAGGACTGGTGGGCGGTGCCTACGTGGGTGGGGCAGTGGGTGGGACTAATTCCTTGGAGATGACTTATTGGCTACTCCTTAGGCCCCGTGGGTGGGCCCAACTGCTAGGCGGAGCCAATTGGGGATGGGGCAATCCTGGAACCAACCCTATTGGTCAAGACCAGACATTAGTTGGGTCAGTTCAGCCTGTGGACAATGAGGGCAGGACCAACCTCTAGGAAGGGGCCTGGCTGAGGCCAACCATTGCAGATCGTGACTTCCTAGAGCCAGTTGTAAAGTGAGTTGTAGCCTCGCACAGTCGGTGGGTGTGCATGTGTGTAATGCTGTATTGATTCCTTTAGTCATTTGAAACGGTGGAGGGAAGGCTGTATTTGTTGTTGTTGTTATTGTTTGTTTTCTCCTGGTCCTAAGATTAAACTCTGGGCCTCTGCACTGCCCGAGTTTCTTTTGCTCAAGGCTAGCTCTCTACCACTTGAGCCACAGTGCCACTTTCAGCTTTTTCTGTGATTAATTGGAGATAAGAGTCTCACAGAGGGGCTGGGAAGGTGGCTCAGTGGTAGAGCGCTTGCCTTGCATGCATGAGGCCCTGGGTTTGATTCCTCAGCACCACATAAGCAAAAAGAAAAAAAACCGGAAGTGGCGCTGTGGCTCAAGTGGTAGAGTGCTAGCCTTGAGCTGAAGAGCTCAGGGACAGTGCCCAGGCCCAGAGTTCAGTCCCCATGACCGGACTGCAAAAAATAAGTCTTACATACTCTCCTTCCCCAGGCTGGCTTCAAACCATGATCCTTAGACCTCAGCCTCCTGAGTAGCTAGGATTACAGATTGTAAGAATATGTCCAGCAATTATGCCAGGCTATGGGTGCCTTAAATGCATGACCTACCAGAGAGATGTGACTGTGAGCTGGTGTGAAGTGACTTCAGGTTCAAATCCGAGTGTGATCTCTTTAAGTGTTTCTTACTCAGAGACTGGTGCATGGTGTCTGTGTACAGTTGTGCAGTATCCATTGCACAACTCCAGGGGGCACCACTCTGAAAGCAGGCGGTAGGAGTGGTTCTGCTTGGAGAGTTTGTGGTGGCAGCCGGGTGGGATTGCCTGTCAGGAGTGAGGGTGCAGGTGGGGGTGTCTTGCCTGAGGAGAGCATATATTTGTGGGTGGAAGCCTTCTCTGTTTCCTGGCTGAGACTCTGGACTCTGATCCTCTTTTATCGGTCTGTTTATGCATCTATTCATCTATGCAACTATCTATCTCCATCTACCACTCATCTATCTATGCATCTGTCTGTGCATCTAACATTTATACCCATCTGTCTATTTAGGCATCTGTTTATCTATGCATCTACCTATCATCTGTTTTGGTATTGGTTACACTGCTAGTGGCGCTGTCCCTGAGTTGTTTATTTTCCTCAAGGTTAGCACTCTTCCACTTGAGCCACAAATACACTCCTTGGTTTTTTGGTTTTTGTTTTTGCTGGTTAATTAGAGATCAGAGTCTCCCAGACTTTCCTCTCTTGCTTCCAACCATGATCCTCGGATCTCCACCTCCTGAGTAACTGGGATGACAGGTGTGAGCCACGCAGGCAACCTGGCTTCCGATTCCCCTTTAACGGCCCCCCCCCATCCCCAGCACCACCTGACTTCACATGCAGTCTGCCAGTGCTGCAGTGAGCTCGCACGCACACACACACACACACACATACACACACCAGAGCACCCAGATCACACAGCGGGCTGCCCGCAGGACCCTCGTCCTGCGCCCCCCTCCCCATGGGCAGGTGCCCTTGGCTGCCCCCAGCCACTGCTGTGGGGTAGCCCAGCAGGGCCCGGGCCTGGCAGATCATGTAACCAAGACTGCCGCTGGGAGCGCGGAGGGGAAGGGAGCCCCCAGCCTTGCTGGGCCGGCCCAGGCCCCTCCGCGGCTCCCCCATTCCACTGCCCCCACCTGCCCAGCCCCCACCCCACCCCCAGCCTTTGCTAAGTCTAGCCTGAGCATTTAGCAGCCCCAAAGGGGGGACTAAGCCTCCAAGATGCCCCTGGTTGATTTCTTCTGCGAGACCTGCTCCAAGCCCTGGCTTGTTGGCTGGTGGGACCAGGTAGGAGAAATGGGGGGGGGGGGGGGGTTGGTGTGTGCAGGTGTGTTAGCTAGCCACCTTGTGATTGTGTGTGTGTGGCCCAGGAATGGGTGTGGATGGCTCTGTCATTGGATTTGTTGGGGGGGGGCATTTTGGCTGTCATGTGGATCAGTCTGGGTCCTGTCTGCAGCCAGTTGGCTTTGACCCTGATCTTGTATGTTGGACCATGTTTACAAGTGTGTTGTGGGGGGGGTGCCTAGGGCTTTGGTGGGGTTGTTTTTATTGGGGGAAACATATGACCCTGGGTGTAAAGACACAGCCTTGTAATGCGTACCCTTTGGTTTGTGTGTGTCTGGGCTGCGTGACCCTCGGGGGGGAGGGCGGCGAGGGAGCCTAGGACAAGGTGTGCACAGTGTCTGTGTGTGTGTCCGTGTGTGTGTCTGTGTGTGATGTGAGTTCAGGGACTCCAGGCCGGGGCAAAGGATCCCATGATCAATCACTATATGGCAGGGTGGGCTACGCTTTGACCACCCTCCAGCTGCTCCCGACAAAGTCTGCTCCTGCCCTAGGGATGTTTGGCTGCGCCTGGGGGAGGGGAGCCATGCCCTTCCTCTTCCAAGTACAATGTCACAGCCGAGGCCTGTGTGGAGTTGGCGGGGTGGGGCGTGGGGAGGACCCCAAGCTCATTTTTTGCGTAGATTCCATTCATCTGTGCATCTTTCCAGGCAAACGAGAAGGGGAATCTGGTGGGAACCCCCTCCCCAAATGGGGGGAGGGGCATCTCCTCGATTTATTATTTCCCACAGGCTATAGACAGGTCTCTTCCTTCTCCAGAGCTTGGGGTCCACGTTGCTTTATTCCAGACTGGGCTGAGACTAAAGGTCGGGACTTCAGGGGCTGGGGTCCTGTGTCTGGCAAGACCTAGAGGCCAGGGCTGGTCCTGGCAAAGCAAGGGTTAAGGGCCTCCAGGCCTAAGCCCCCCCTCCCCTCATTTCCCCAGCTCAGCAGCTGGTTGGAGAGGGAGTTGCTAAGGAGACTCGCATCACCATGACAACGGGAATCTCCCTGTACCCCATTGGCTCTCTGTTAGGCAGAAGCCCCTCCCTTCCACAGGTGCCCCCTCTGGCTCTTCCTTGAGGGGAGTTAGTGAATAGAGTCCCTCTTTTCCTAGGGCAAGGAGCGGGTATGCTGATTCCAACCTCCCCTCCAACACCTGGGGACCCCCATCCTGTGCCTGTCTCTAGTAGCCTGGCAGATGAGGGTCAGAGTGAAAAGATCTGAGCAACTCCAGGAGTTTGTTTGCATGAGCGGAGATATATAGGACCAACCCCCACTCAAATGCACAATGAAAACTGCCCACCCCGCTGCCCCCCATCACCCCTTTTTCCCTCTCGGACTCTTTACCTCAGTTCAAAAGGATGCTGAACCGGGAGCTCACACACCTGTCAGAGATGAGCAGGTCGGGAAACCAAGTCTCAGAGTATATTTCCACAACCTTCCTGGGTGAGTGATTGTGGGCAGGGGGGTGGGGACACCTTGTAGTAATTTCTCCAAACAGTCCCAAGTTCCCATGCTCAAGCAATGTTGTATTCACGAAGCCCCACCCCCTCCCCGCCGTACTCCGTGGAACCCCAGCTTCTATGAAATCCTCATGTTGGGATCTCTCCATGGGCCGGGCACTTGGTGGCTCATGTACATCTGTTCCCAGGAGATTGAGATCTGAGGATGCTGGTTTGAAGCCAGCCGGGGCAGGGGAAAAAAAAAAAAAAAAAAAAGTTAGTGTGACTCTTAACACCACTGCAACAGCAGAAAGCAAAAAACAAAACAGAAGCTGTGATTGAATGCTAGCCTTCCGTGAAAAGCTGGGGAACAGTGCTCAGCCCTGAGTTCAAGCACACAGCATGGTAGCACCTACCTGTCAGTCAGCATTCCAAAGACAAGGCAGGCAGGAAGATCTTGAGGTTCTGAGCTCCAGGCCAGGCTGAGCTACACAGCGACACCTTGACTGAAAAACCCAAGAAACAAATTCAGCCAAGACCTCCAAACTTCAAAAAATAAAATAGTGTTTTCAAGCTGGGAGCCTGTGGCTCACACCTGTCACCCTAGCTACTCAGGAGGCTGAGATCTGAAGATCTCGGTTCAAAGCCAGCCCAGGGAAAGAAAGTGTTTAAGACTCTCATCTCCAATGAACCACCAGAAAACTGGAAGTGGCACTGTGGCTCAAGTGGTAGAGCGCTCGCCTTGAGCTGAAGAGCTGAGGGACAGAGCCCAGACCCAGAGTTCAAACCCCATGACCAAAAAAAAAAAAAATGCTGTGTATGGTGGTACACATCTATAATTCCAATGCTTGAGTACAATTCTTTTTTGTTTTTGGGGGGTCTGGTCATGGGGCCTGAACTCTGGGCCTGGGCGCTGTCCCTCAGCTCGTCAGCTCAAGGCTAGCGCTCTACCACTTGAGCCACAGCGCCACTTCCGGCTTTTTTCTTTTTGCTTATGTGGTGCTGAGGAATCGAACCCAGGGCCTCATGCATGCAAGGCAAGCGCTCTACCACTGAGCCACCTTCCCAGCCCCAATTCCAATGCTTGAAAGGCTGAAGCAGAAGGATCTTAGAGATCAGTATAGCCTACAAAGCAATATCCTGTCTCTAAAACAAACAAAATCAAACATCTGAGCACCAGCAACACAGGTTTGTAATCCTAGTTAATAAAGAGGCTGAGATCTGAGGATTATGGTTCAAAGCTAACCTTGGCAAACAGATTTGAGAGACTTTTTTTGTTTTTTTTTTGGTCGGTCGTGGAGCTGGAACTCTGGACCTGGGCGCTGTCCCTCAGCTCTTCAGTTCAAGGCGGCGAGCGCTCTACCACTTGAGCCACAGTGCCACTTCTGGTTTTCTGGTGGTTCATTGGAGATAAGAGTCTCATGGACTGCCTGGGCTGGCTTTGAACTGCGATCCTCAGATCTCAGCCTCCTCAGTAGCTAGGATGATAGGCGTGAGCCACCAGTGTCCAGCACTGAGAGACTCTTATCTCCACTTCCAGAAACTGGAAGTGAACGAGGTGCTCAAGTGGTAGGGCACTAGGTTTGAGTGGAAACAAACTAAGCAGGAGCATGAGGTTGAGATCAAGCCACAGTAGTGGCGCGCACACACACACACACACACAATAAAACAAAATGAAAATAAAACCCTATAGGAGGCCCCCAAATACAGGATTCCAAAACTCCCCTTCCCCCCCCCAAATCTGAACTAAATAGCCCATGCAGTGAAGAAATCTCTACCACCACCACTACAAATGCAGGGTAAGGGCACTTTTTTTTTGGTCAGTTGTGGGGCTTGAACTCTGGGCCTGGACGCTGTCCCTCAGCTCTTCAGCTTTAGGTGAACGTTCAGCCACTTGAGCCACAGCTCCACTTCCGGTTTTCTGAGTGGTTAATTGGAGATTAGAGTCTCTCGGACTTTCTTGCTCGGGCTGGCTTTAAACCATGATCCTCAGATCTCAGCCTCCTGAGCCGCGAGGATTACAGGCGTGAGCATCCTGCACGGCCTGGTCACTCTTTTATTCATCACTAAATAGCTGAAAAAAGTGTTCAGAACTGGGCGTGAAGGCATGTCACCTGTAAATGCCAGTACTAGGGAGGCAGAAGTAAGGAGGATCTTGAGTTCAAGTCCAGACTGGGCTACTGTGTAACATGTTCAAGGTCTTGGCCCAGCTATATGGAGAATTCTGACATTTCAAAAATAATGGCAAGGGGGGCTGGGAAGGTGGCTCAGTGGTGGCTGAGAGTGCTTGCCTTGCATGGATGAAGCCCTGGGTTCGATTCCTCAGCAGCACATAAGCAGAAAAAGAAGTGGTGCTGTGGCTCAAGTAGTAGAGCGCTCATCTTGTGCTGGAGAGCTGAGAGACAGCGCCGGGGCCCAGAGTTCAAGCCCCATGACTGACAGGAAAAAAACAGAAACAATGGCAGGGTGGGATTCTGTGTCATTTGCTCCCACCAATGAGGCTCTGGCCTGCCTTTAGAGTTCTGAGGATTCAGCCAATGGGAGCTTGCCATGCAAATGACCCCCTCATAGTCCCTGTCATGGACTGGCAACCCCAGGTCATAATGGGTGGTCCCTACTTGGATTCAAAAGCTCTGGAACCAAGCCACAGCTCCTGGGGCTGGCTCCCCACAGGGCCTCCCTTTTTTCCCTTCTCCCTCCCATGCCCCCTCCCTCCAGCGCTCCCAGCCACCATGGGGCTGTCTTTCCTGGCCCAGAAGTTTCCATGGACATCCTGGGCAGGCAGCCACGTGTGTGCCTGGCATCCCCACCCCACTTCCAGATTAACCCTTCCGATTTGCTGCCCGACCTGACTGTTACTCCAGGGGCCCCGTGTCAGTCCCCAATCACCCAGAAAAGTCCTCTTAGTGACACTGAGGAGTCGGTCTGTTTGGGTATGCTTTCCCCGCATGGTGGTAAAAGTGCTGAAGGCTGGGAGTGCCTTCTATGGAAGGGGTGCTCATACCCGCCCCCCCCTCACCCATTTTCTTTGTAATATTTGACAGACAAACAAAATGAAGTTGAGATCCCCTCCCCCACGATGAAGGAGCAAGAGAACCAGGAAACACCCCCAAAGAAACCTTCCCAGCACCCCTTGCCCCCCGAACCTCAGTTCCAGCCCATGTCCCAGATCACGGGAGTGAAGAAGCTCACGTACAGCAGTGGCCTCAACACCAGCATCCCACAGTTTGGGGTGAAGACGGACCAAGAGGAGCTCCTGGCCCAAGTGGGTGGGGTTCTGGAGAGGCAGGGGTCTGGCCGTTCATCAGTGAGACACCTGTAAGGCAGATTCCCCCAGAGAAAGAGATGAGGGGGCCGAAGGAGGGGTGAGAGGGGTCTCAGCTGGAGTCTTTCTCAATCTGAGGGGTTCCATTGTGCTGGTCGCTGAGGGTACCCCTGGACTGGGCACTGTCCCTTAGCTCTTTTCACTCAAGGTTGGCGCTCTACCACTTGAGTCACTACTCCACTTCTGGCTTTTTGGTGGCTGGGGATCTTGGAAACACCAATGTCACCCCCTGAGCTTTGGGTTCTTCAACAACCCAATTGGATTGAGGGCGCTGGGACTGTGGCTTGGTAATAGAGTGCTCGCCTAGCATGCGTGAAGCCCTGGGTTTGATTTCTCAGCACCACATACACAGAAAAAGCCAGAAGTGGCGCTGTGGCTCAAGTGGTAGAGTGCCAGCTTTGAGCAAAAGCTCAGAGACAGCGCCCAGGCCCTGAGTTCCAGCCCCAGGACTAGGAAAAAAAAAAACAACTTTCCTGATGAGTCCATTCCACAGATGAGGGCTCCAGACTCCTAAGAAAGGGTCTCCCAGGCCCCTTCCCCTGCATGCTTCTGACCTTTGACCTCCATGTCCACCAGGAGCTGGAGAATTTGAGCAAATGGGGTCTGAACATCTTCTGTGTGTCAGATTATGCCGGAGGCCGCTCACTCAGCTGTATCATGTACACCATCTTCCAGGTGATGGGGGCAATGGGGAGCGGGCAGGGATCGAAGGGGCACAGGACAGGGCCGGCAGGGGTCACCGCCCTGCCCCTGCTGGTCCCCAGGAGCGGGACCTGCTGAAGAAATTCCGCATCCCCGTGGACACCATGGTGACGTACATGCTGACGTTAGAAGATCACTACCATGCTGACGTGGCCTACCACAACAGCCTACACGCAGCCGATGTGCTGCAGTCCACACACGTGCTGCTGGCCACGCCCGCGCTCGATGTAAGTGCGGCCAGCCCCCTCCATCTCTTTGCCGTTGCCCCGTCTGCTGTGTCCCGGCCCATTTTGTCTTTCTGATCTCTTGTGTCTGACCTCCCTGCTCGTCTATTTCTTCTGTATCATCTTCATTTGCTCTCCTGGGTTTGGTTGGTTGGTTTTTGTTTTGTTGGTCTGTGGGGCCTGAACTCTGGGCCTGGGCGCTGTCCCTCAGCTCTTCAGCTCAAGGTGAGCACTCTACCACTTGAGTCACAGCACCACTTCTGGCTTTTCTGCTTATGTGCTGCTGAGGAATCGAACCCAGAGCCTCATGAACGCAAGCCAAGCGCTCTACCACTGAGCCACCTTCCCAGCCCCAGCCTATTGTTTCGGAGATCAAGTGTTCCTAGGAAACTCAGACTGGCCTTGATTTCCTGATTAATCTGCCGTCTTCGTCGTCTCTGGTCCACCCATCCCCTGTAGCCTGTCAGTCATCCCTTTCTCTCTGCCTCTTCCTGCTCCTAGGCGGTGTTCACAGACCTGGAAATTCTGGCCGCCCTCTTTGCAGCTGCCATCCATGATGTGGACCACCCTGGAGTCTCCAACCAGTTCCTCATCAACACCAGTGAGTCGGCCCCTCTTGGGGCCGGGGTTGATGGACGGGTCTTAGGGTGGAGCCAATTTACCTGTGGGAAGAACCTGCTAGATTGAGAGCCAGGGATTGGATGAATGGAGGTGGAACTGGGCGGGGTTAAGGGTGGAGCTAAGATTGAAGAAAGGACTAGCACGGTAGGGGAGGGGCGTGTGTATGGGTTTGGGGCGGGGCCATTACCTTGTTGGGGCGGGGCTAGCAGTGTGGGAGGGGCCAGACTGCAGGACAATTGTTTGGGCAGGGCTAGTGGCATGGGCGGGGCCAGAAGTGTAGACACTTGGTGTGGGCGTGGCTAGCGGTATGGGCGTGGCTGCCTGGGCGGGGCCAGCCAGGGTGTCACCGGTGGCTCCTCCCCTCCTCTGGGCTGCAGATTCGGAGCTGGCGCTCATGTACAACGATGAGTCGGTGCTGGAGAATCACCACCTGGCCGTGGGCTTCAAGCTGCTGCAGGAGGAGAACTGTGACATCTTCCAGAACCTCAGCAAGCGCCAGCGACAGAGCCTGCGCAAGATGGTCATCGACATGGTGGGCGCGGCTTGGGGCAGGGGCAAGAAGGGAGCCAGGAAAGCATGCTTAGAGAGCCAGGAGGGAACCTTCTGGAAACTGGAGGGTTCTGCAGAATGCAAACCTCCCCAGGCCTGGGTGGGATCCACGGCCCTTCTCACAGACACCCTCCCCTCCTCCGTTTGCCCACAGGTGCTGGCCACGGACATGTCCAAGCACATGACACTCCTGGCGGACCTGAAGACCATGGTAGAGACCAAGAAAGTTACCAGCTCTGGAGTTCTCCTACTGGACAACTACTCCGACCGTATCCAGGTGCCCACACCTCTCTATTAAACACACCAGGCCCACCCGGTGCTGGTGGCCCACGCCTGCCATCCTAGCTCCTCAAGAGGCTGAGATCTGAGGATCATGCTTCGAGGCCAGCCCGGGCAGGAAAGTCCATGAGACTCCTATCTCCAATAAACCACCAGAAAACTGGAAGTGACACTATGGCTCTAACGGTAGAGCGCTCGCCTTGAGCTGAAGAGCTCAGGGACAGCACTCAGGCCCTGAGTTCAAGCCCCATGGCCGACCAAAAAAAAAACACTGGACCCCTTCCCCAATGCTTCCCTCCATCTCCCATCTCCTCTCTACTTCCCCTCCCTCCTCCCCAAGCCCTTCACCCCACTCCCCTTCACCACGTGGGGGAACACACACACACACACACAGATAAGGTGTGGCCCCTAAAGGGCCTCCCATCCCCCACCCTACGCAGGTCCTTCGGAATATGGTCCACTGTGCAGACCTGAGCAACCCTACGAAGCCCTTGGAGCTGTATCGCCAGTGGACTGATCGCATCATGGCTGAGTTCTTCCAGCAAGGGGACCGGGAACGGGAGCGTGGGATGGAGATCAGCCCCATGTGTGACAAGCACACAGCGTCTGTGGAGAAGTCTCAGGTACACGTGCGCAATGTCAACTTTCTCTGGTTTCATCCTTCTTCATGTGGATGAGAAATTGGCCACGTTTTCTCCATTGAAGGACGATGGTTCTGAGCCTCTGCACTCACAAACAATATGGAGATCTTTCAGATATTACTAGCTCAGTGACTGCACCAACCAGCTTATCTGATTGCTACTTAGCTGGGCATGGTAGTGCATGCCTGTAATCTCGGGGGGGGGGGGGCTGAGGCAAGAAATTGAGAGTTCAAGGTCAATGTGGATTACATAATGAGGGCCAGACTGCCTGTATTTAAGACTTCTGTCTTAGCTGGGGGCTGACACCTGTAATCCAACTATTCAGGAAGCTGAAATCTGAGGATCACGGTTCAAAGCCAGCCTAGGCAGGAAAGTCCATGAGCCTCTATAACCTCCAATTAATCACCAAGAAACGGGAAGTGGAGCTGTGGCTTAAAGTGGTAGAGCACTACCCTCGAGCAAAGAGTCCAGAGCTAGCACTGAGGTCCTGAGTTCAAGCCCCACAACTGACCAGAAATATGTGTATGTGCTGTTGTGTGTGTGTGTGTGTGTGTGTGTGTGTGTAGCAATACTTGTGTGAGTTTGGGGAGAGGTTAAACTATAAATTATATCAACTTTTGTCTATATAGTACTGAGCAAAGTACATAGTTTTTTAGTCCCAGCTACTTTGGAGGCCAAGAGGAGGACTGTTTGAGCCAGGAGCTCACCCGCCTGGACACCAGAGTGAGGCTTTGATTCTTGGGTGTCTTACAAGAAAAGTCAAAAGTTGTCCACTCATCAGAAAGGAAAAATAATAAGAAAGTATTAACCAGCCATCTACGCTACCATAAGGTTTCTGTTTTTTCTTGGTTGAAAAAAATAAGTAAAAGCCAGAATAGCCGGATGCTGGTGGCTCACGCCTTACATGCTAGCTACTCAGGAGGCTGAGATCTGAGGATCATGATTTGAAGCCAGCCTATCCAGGAAAGTCTATAACACTCTTTTATATTCAGTTAACTACCAAACATCCAGAAGTGACGGTGTGGCTCAAGTGGTAGAACACTAGCCTTGAGTGAAAAATCTCAGGGACAGTGCCCTGGACCTGAGTTCAAGCTGCAGGAGGTACAGGTACATGTACACACACACCACACACACCACACCCCCACACACACCACACACACACACACACACACACACACACACACGCAGAGCCAAATGAGTATCTGTGATGTTACAATTTAAAAAACAAAACCAAAAGGAAATTTTTCAGTTATTTGTGTAAGGCTTGGTGAAACAAAGTTGCTAGATCAGATGAAAGAACCCGGGGTTTATTGTTTTAGGGGATTTTTTTTATAACCTAGTGTGGACAGCCTTAAGCTTGCTATCCTGTTAGAAGCATGGAATGCTCTGTGTGTGTGTGTGTGTGTGTGTGTGTGCGCGTGCGTGCGTGCGTGCACATGCATGCCAGTCCATTCCAGTCCTGGCACTTGAACTCAGCCTGAGCACATTTTTCCTGAGTTTTTTTTTTTTTGTCAGTTGTGGGGCTTGAACTCAGGGCCTGGGCGCTGTCCCTCGGCTCTCCAGCTCAAGGCGAGCGCTCTATCACTTGAGCCACAGCGTCACTTCTGGTTTTCTGGTGGTTCATTGGAGATCAGAGTCTCCCAGCCTTTCCTGCCCCGGCTGGCTTTGAACCGCTGTCGTCCTCTCTCAGCCTGGCGCGTAGCTTGGTGACAGGTGCACCGCTGGCCGCTGGCTTAGCCTCCCCGCCCCCCGCTGTCCCCTAGGTGGGCTTCATCGACTACATCGTGCACCCGTTGTGGGAGACGTGGGCGGACCTCGTGCACCCCGATGCCCAGGAGATCCTGGACACCCTGGAGGACAACCGGGACTGGTACTACAGCGCCATCCGGCAGAGCCCGTCGCCGCCCCCGGAGGAGGACGAGGAGTTTCCTGGGGGCCCCGGACACCCCGCCGCCCCCGAGAAGTTCCAGTTTGAGCTGACGTTGGAGGAGGAGGAGGAGGACGAGACACCCCTGGGGACCCAGGACGCCCCGGAAGCGGACGGCGGGAGCGTGACCCCCGGACCGACCTGCGGTGGGCGTGCAGCCCACGACGGATCCGAAGCCGCGGGCCCCACCAGCCCCCCAACTTTGAGGACCCCACCCGCTCTGCAGGAGGCCCCGGGCCTCGCGGGCCTCCCCTCCACGGCGGCCGAGGTGGGGGCCCCAAAAGACGATCGGGCTGCCAAGAGGGCCTGCGGGGCCTGCTCCCCCTCCTCCCCCTCCTCCTCCTCCTGCTGCTCCTCGGGGACCCCGGAGGACACCCCGGCCCTCCCCCCAGCCCCAAGTGGATGGGACCCCACCTGAGCCCCTGCAGCCCCGGGGCGCCCCGAGTCTCCCGCACCCCCACCACCGCCCCGCTCCTCCTCCTCCTCCTCCTCTTCCTCCTCCACCCCAAAGACTCATCGCCCTCCTGAGAAAAAAAGAAAGCAGAAAAGTGGGGGGGGCTTTTGCTTTTCTTTGCTTCCCCCCCCCGAGGCCGTGGCCACTGGGGGGGCCTTTGGATGGAGGGGGGGTCCCCCGAGTCCTGGAAGGGATTTTATTTTTTCAATATTAATTGTAACATTTTTAAGAAAAAGAGAAAAAAAAAGAAAAAAAAAACAGAATGAAACACGGCAACTGTAGACCCCTCCCCGTCTTCCCGGCTCCCCCTCTTCCCTCAGCTCTCTCTGCCCCTGAACCCCGAATTTCCCCCCCTCCCCATGCTCTCTCCCTTCTTCCGGGCCCCCAAGTGTGTCTTCCATCTTGCTGGGCTTCTCTAAGAACCCTGGCAGAGATGTACGCCATCTTCCAGGTTCTGATTTGGGGTGAGGGGGTGCCTAGTATGGGGCTGTGAATACATAGCCATCCTAAGAGGAGGGCTCAGTGTTGAGGGGCGCTCCGCTGAACCCCCAGAGCAGTCTTCCACCTCATTTATTTATTTATTTATTGTTACCACTCTAGCCATAGGGAGCAGAATCCCGGGGAGCTGTGGCCAGTCATTGTGGGGAGACCCTGATGCCCCCCCATAACACACACTCTTAACAATTGCCACGCACACGCCCCACATCCCAGTCACTGTCAAGGAAAAAGGGTTCCGCTCTGCGCATCCGCCCCTCCAGCTGCTTCTCCTCCTGTGTCTGCCTTAAGGTGACCCCCGCAGAAAGAGGAGTCCTGGTAGCAGTGGTCCCCCTGTAACCTGAGGGGGGACCAGGCCCAGATCCTCATCCCCAGCACCCCCTTCCTTGTGTCCTGAACCCCTCCACGTGGACCCAGCCCCCACCAGTCTTTGCCCTAGGAGGAAGCAATAACAATGTGTACCCCCAAACCCCCGTCCTTGGGCAACCTTCCACCCCAGCACCAAAGCGATCCTGTGGTTCCCCCAACTTCGCAGAGCCCCACCCTCAGCCCCAGCTACTCCCTGAGCAATATGACAGACTCAAGGCTGTTTCTCCGAGCGTGGGGGAGCATCGGGAAGGAAAGGACCCTCCCCCACATACACCCTGATTTCATTCATCTGTTCCCCCCAGTTCTGTGCACATGGTACTGTAACCCCCTCTGTCCACTTCCCCAGCACCTCATAATGTTGTACAGGGTTTTTTTTTTTTCTTCTTTTTTGTACATACTCTATAAAGTTGGTTTGTAAATTATTTTTCGGAGGCAAAAAAAAAAAAAAGGAAAAAAACTAAACTCGCCTCTCCCTAGCTAACCTGGTGAGAGAGTGGAGAGGGCTCCCCCAGAGGGAGGGTCCCCCACTTCTAATGTATAAGTACAAACAGTATCCCATAGTCCCACGAACGTGAAGGTGGGTCGCTATACCTTCACAGGAAATTGCCCGAGAGGAACAAGGGCTGGACAGACCTGAGGCCTTCCCAGAGGCCGGGGGGGGGGGGGCAGAGGTGGTGAGACTCCAGGCCAGGGGCTCCTCATCCCCAGGGAGGTGTGGGCTCCTGCTGGGTTACCCACTTGAATGATCAATGAATCAGTCTATGGATGGATAAGGTTCTGATCTTGTTACCAATTAAACCCAGACTTTCACTGAGGTGCGTGGCTCATGATTTGACTCTCCACTTTATTGGGGTGTCTCCTTCCATGGGTGCTGGGTTTGGAAAAGGGATGAGAGGAGTTGCCTCCCCTTCTTGAAAAGATGGAAAAAATGATGAATTTGGGAATGGATTTGTGAACCTGGCTTTGTCCTAACACCAAGAATTCAAGGTTAATCCACAGAGTTTAAACATGCTGGAAAGATTTGAAGCCAAGACCATGCACATAATAAAGCCAGGCACTGGTGGCTCATGCGTGTGATCCGTGTGTGTGTGTGTGTGTGTGTGTGTGTGTGTGTGTACTAGGGCTTGAACTAGGCCTAGGGACTATCTGCTTTTTCACTCAAGGCTGGTGCTCCACTAATTGTGTCACAATTCTGCTTCTGTTTGGTGCACAACCGGAGAGAGGAATTCATGGACTTTTCTGCCCAAGCTAACATCAAACCAGGATCAGATATCAGCATCCTGCATGGTGGCTAGGATTACAGGCATGAGCAACCAGCCAGTGTCCAGTAACATGTTTATTCTCATACAAAAGGTAAATCACTTTTTTTTTTCTTTTGAATTCTTGCAGACAAACTCCAGATGTAGCCAGGCTCACCTAGAACTCAGATCCTCCTGCCTCAGCCTCCCCAATGCTGAGATTACAGGTGTACCACCACACCAGGCTCCCAGCAACACATTTCTCCATAAAGATGAGAATGTTCAATATTGTGTCATCCAGTATGTTCAGTCACTGGGTGACTGTTAAGTTCTAGAAATTTTGCTCCTTAGGGACTAGGGGCTACCATAGCAGGCTGAAACAGTTCATGTAAAAGATTTAGTACATACAAAGTTCTTCTGTTTGATCATGGCTGGTATCATAACCCAAGAAGAGTAAGGGCCAACGTAGCCCCAAAGGAGGGAAGAAGCTGCCAAAAGTAGGTAGAAGTTTCCAGAAGCTCTGCAAGAAGCAAAGACAAGGCTCAGAGATTGCCCCCAAGGCAGAGCTGGGGAAAGGGCACTGTGACTGTGGGACAAGGTGACTGTGGGAGGTAGCTTGGGTGGCTGGGGGCCAGCCTGCTGACCCTGAGCCTCAGTTTCCCCAAGTGTTAAAGGGCAGATGCAACTGTCTCAAACATATCATGTGGGGACACAGTCTCTGTGACACTGTGTCAAAGGCCAGTGTGACATGTGATCAGCTTGCTCTTTTCAGTCACCCCACACAGGGCAAAGGTGAGGGAAGGTGCAACAGCTAATGGCCTTGCACTCAGTGATCTCAAGCAGAGGTGATCTGAGGCCGCCTGTTTAAGATGGTGTCTTGCTATGTTACCCAACTACAAAGCTCAAGAGATCATCGGAGGCGGGCCCCAGTGACTCACGCCTGTCATCCTAGTTACTCAGGAAGCTGAGATCAGAGGCTCACGGTTCAAAGCCAGCCCAGGCAGGAAAGTCTGTGAGACTCCTCACTCCAATGATCCACCAAAAAGCCACAAGTAGTGCTGTGGGCTCAAGTGGTAGAGTGCTAGCCTTGAGCATGAAAAGCTCAGGGACAGCGCCCAGGCCATGAGTTCAAGCCCCCAGGACCAGCAAAACAGAAATAAATAAAATGGGTTTTCAGTCAGAAGGCAGGCCCAGCGCCTAAGCCCTCCAGCGCCCTCTACAGATGGGCTAGGGAGGTACAGCAGCGCCAGGACGACGGGGAGGCGTGGCAAGGAAGCCTCCACACTGCGATTGGCTCGGGATTTTGTCATTCGCAGAGAAAACAGCCAATGAGGAGCGCTTCCGCTACTCCTCCCCCCCCTCCCCCGCGCGTGTCCTGGGCCTTGAGCTCAGGCCATGTGCCTTCTTCCTAAGCTTTTGTACTCAAAGCTGGCACCCTGCTGCTTGAGCCACACTTCCACTTCTGACTTTTTGCTGGTTAATTAGAGATGAGTCTCACCGACTTTCCTGCCCAGGCTGGCTTTGAACTGTGATCCTCAGATCTCAGCCTCCTGAGTAGCTAGGATGACAGACACAAGCCAGGGCGGCCAGCTGTGTTCTTCATTCCTGAAAGGGGCCCAGCCTGTTCCTTCTCTTCCTGAGGGTTTCCAGTATTGCTTTCCTCACACCACATAGGGCTGCAGCACCTCTCCCCTCCTCCAAGACAACTCCTCCCAAACTGAAGTGAGCCCCCTAAAAGGTCTCATGACCCCCATAGATTTGAGAAGATCCCCTAGGAACCCCAAATAGCAGATGCCAGCAGCTTAGATCCAAAAGTCAGGGGAGGGGAGGGAGGAGCTAATAGAGGAATGTGTCACACAGCACCTGTGAAATCAGATAAGGAGTCTTGTGCAGGTCTGTCATCCTAGCTTCTCAGGAGACTGGGATCTGAGGATCATGGTTCAAAGCCAACCCAGGCAGGAAAGTCTGAGAGACTCTTATGTCCAATTAAGCACCAAAAAGCCAGAAGTAGAGCTGTGGCTCAAGTAGTGGAGTGCTCGAGTTGAATGTAAAAAGTTCAGGGACAGCACCTGGGCCCTGAGTTCAAGCCCCAGGACTCACACATACAAACACACACACACACACGCACACCAATCAGATGAGGAATCGGGGCTATTTCTCCCAAAATGGTAGCCAAAGGGAGAATGAGAACCTACCTACACTAGATTAAATATTTCTCACCCATGGCTCACAATTCCTGAGGTACTGAGCAAACAGGTGTCATATACAGGGTTGTGGCCTGATGCCAGGAGGGCCCAAGCCATGTGATGTACAGGGGGACATAGAGCTTCCGGGTGTAGAACTCAAAGCCTGGTAGACTGCATTGTGGGTCTCCCACAGATCTTATAAAACACTCAACTTGAAGACACTAGAAATGTAACCACTGGGGCCTGGGTGGCTCAGGGGTAGAGCGCTGGTTTAGGATGTGGGGAGCTCTGGAATAGAACCCCAACACTGAAGAAAAGGGAAGGATCCAGGTGCTGGTGGGTCACGCCTGTAATCTAGCTACTCAGGAGGCTGAGATCTGAGGATCTTGGATTGAAGCCAACCTGGGCAAGAAAGTCTGTGACTTATCGCCAATAAACTGCTCAGAAAAAGCCAGAAGTGGTGCTGTGGCTCAAGTGGTAGAGCACTAGCCTTGAGCACAAAGATGCTCAGGGACAGCTCCAAGGCCCAGAGTTCAAATACCAGTATACACACACACACACATTCGAACCCAGGGCCTCATGTATGCAAGGCAAGCATTCTACCCCTGAGCCAACTTCCCTGACCCCTTGGCTAGGGGTTTTGAAGAAGATTGATTTAGGAAAAGAACATAGCTGGGATTTAATTCTCTTTACCAGATACCCACAGGGGGACGACACTCCTACTGGAGAGGACTTCCTGAAATCAGACTGGTAAGGCCAGGTACCCATGGCTCAAGCCTGTCATCCTAGTTACTCAGGAGGCTGAGATCTGAGGATCATGGTTCAAAGCCAGCCAGGACAGAAAAGTCTGAGTCTTTTATCTCCACTAAACCTACCAGTAGTCTAGA